ATTGTAAAGTTTGGTAAATGTAAAAGTAATTGAAAATGGTTAATGGAAAAATATTGAAAAGCTGTTCAGTGGAAGAAAGTGTTACCACTTATGGACCTATTGGACGTTATATATAAAAATCAGTGAGAAGTGTGGTTTACTTATGGCTCATTTTCGGGAAATTTCAAGTGTTCCGATATTTGTAACCACTTCTATCCATTCTACTTTTAAATTTACGGTTTATTTATTCATTTCCCAAGTAAGAAAAAACGATAAAGATGCAAAAATCTTTGAAAAATCACGTATGTTCCAAAAACTTTAAACATCTGTACATCAATTTTGTCATTCTTAAATCAAGTTGTGTGTCGAAAAATCCACTTTAAAATACTATAATGTTACATACAATCGAGGTAAAAGTGACAGAAGTTAATTAAATATACTTTGATAGTTGATCAGCATTTCGTGAAAGCAAAGAGTTGGCGTTAAAAAATATCAAATGTGGCTTTCCTTTACTTTTTAACACAAAAAAAAAACATCAAAAAGTTTAAGGGACATCAAGCGCTTGAGGCTACATGATATCATAACAGAACATCTCTATTTTACAATATAAATATCAGTTGACATTAAAATAAAATATATTGTAAAAATAAGTAAAAAAAAAAAAAAAGAATATTTAGCTATTGTTACCCAAAATAGTTCGATTTTAAAACCCTTTTAGTATTAAGTATCGTCAAGATCTGTAAAAAATCTATTGGCGCTCGATCCCCCTAAGCCTATATGACCCGCAGCTGAAAAGTCTTTCAAATAACGTATTAAAAACTTTTGTACCTTAACAATGTGAGCAAATATTGGAAGACAAGCAGTTCTCTTAAATATTTTGTGTAAATTTCCTCGAGTTCGAGTAGATATAACAGTACCGTTAATTTCGTCTAAAACATCACCAACTTCTAATTCATTCTGTAAATCAAAGTAATGTTTTTAATATAGCAGACAAAAGTGAACATAATAAAATGCACATTCCACAGTGATGCTCACGTGATAAGAAGCTACGGAATTTTTTTCAATTTTAATAATCAACGTCTTTCCTTTAGTAAAACTGAAACCGTACATTATCATATTAGATGGTTGAAACAATGTGTGTAAGATTTTGTTAAATTTTTGTTATTACCAGACCGATATGCCAAGGGTTTTGCAAGGCACGAATTCCACGCTCGCGCAATCCGGTAAATTCCACGTTTCGTCCAGAAAGCTTGCGTTCCTCAAGTTTAATCGAAAGTTTAACTTGCTTATTTGTAACAATACCGAGTGCAATATCTCACCAAGGATCTCATCCCCAAGAATACTGTCCTTGTTATAATAACTTAGTGCTAAAAACGGGTTTCTTACCTTTAGGCAAGATAAAAATGTGGTTAGACAAAAATAACTACTTTAATAAAAAAAAAAAAAAAAAAATTACGTTACTCACTAAATAGCCAACAGGGGCGTGCATGCATTTGCGACTTAGGCATGTCCTTATCAACAGTCTGAATTTACCGCTGGTTTCCTGTACTTTCTGATTTTCACAAACATTTTCCACAATATTCGTAAACGAAATCAGCGAGCTATATGTAACAAGCACAACTTGGTTGGTGAAAGATTTTCATTCCAATTCGGAATCGAATGTAAATAATTAAACAAAAGTGATCCTTACTCGTCTTTTCTTTTCGCTAGATCTTCCATACAGTGCCAGGGGTCTGGAATATTTGGAACTCCAAAGGCATTTAAGCGCATGGCAACTCCCTTTTGAAAACATTTTTCCAGGCATTTACAGAAATGCACGAGATCTTCCGTATCGTCGGTTATATTGCTCGCTCTCTCAGTCAATATTCTCGTGTAGGCTGAAACAATTAATTCAATGTTTCATTTACGTGAAGAAGAAATTACGTCTTCTCTATCGCATACAGAGCAGTATTTTTTTATAGGTATAAATTTACCTTTTGTAATGTTTTATGAATTTTTGTTGATTATATTCCAACGAAAAAGTTTACTTTCATTTGTTACTTTATTGTCAGACTCTTGGGTGATTTTGACTCCAAGTTCAAGGCACTCCAATCGAACTGGGACATAATTTACGTTCCCCGGGTGTAACAGTTTTCGGATGGCATTCTCAATTTGTCGAACATCACCCTCGCATCCAATGACAATCGAACCGCAGTAATCAATCAGATAGCCAGGCTTAACATCCACTAGCTGGGCTCTGTTCTCTTCGCTCTCTTCGGCAGGTTTTTCGATTTCTTGAGAATTACTTTCTGTGCGGTCTAATTTTGGATTCCTAAGTAATATCTTCAACTCCTCGAGGCCGGAATTTTTTATAAGGTCTGCTATTGGCTCAAAAACCTCATTTTTATCTTTGCGGTACTAAAAAAAATCATTATTAATTTCAGACAAGGTATTATATTTTAAACCTAACTGGGAAAACTTTTTGGATGCTGGTCATCCAATCGAATACAACTCTAAGATGACTTTTTTTTTTGTCAAAATACAAAAACAGCCACACTACTAAACGCTGTTTCATTTGTTTTATTTCAAAATTATGTCAAATCATCGAAATACATCGAATCAACTTCTTTTTGCCATGATAAGTATTTCGTAATTATATGAAAGCTTCCGTTTTCCCACTTAACGTTATGCACTTGAGTAAAGTCGTTTCTTCGATAAGATAAGGACGCAACTATCGCGAGAAACTTGAACAATGTTAAACTCGAACGTACCCTAAAAGTTGTCTTTAAAACATAAAAAAAATTTAAGGCTATTCGACTTCAGTTTTTTTTTATTAACTTTGCCTAGAGATCAAAAATTTGGTTTCCAATTGAAAAATTTTAATCTGAAAGTGAAAATTTTTAAGGTCTTTTTAATCAGCAATTATATTGGGAGTTTTTGAAACGTCAAACTTTTTTGTACTTGTAAGTTATTGTAAAGTTTGGTAAATGTAAAAGTAATTGAAAATGGTTAAT